AAACCAAAAATTTGGCACTGGAAAAAACAATGGCCTGGACAGAAAACGGGCCCCAAAAGAAAGACGCTGCCTATTACAGGCAGCTTAAAGAAAAATATGACCAATATATATATCAAAGGAACAATTCTTGACAATACCAGAGGCACTAGATGCTGTAAACTCAAAAATAATTAAAAAAAATAAAAACTTAAATAAAGTCTTGGCTAGGAGAACCAATGCCATTTGGAACATTCTCCTAGCCACTGAGCAGGAAGCCAAGCAGCTGACCGGAAATATCCTAGCAACCGGAAGCTTATGACTCCAGACACAGTACATGGGCACCCGGCATACCAAAATCATGGTACATGGGGTGTCCGTGGACATTTCTACAGATAGAATAGGGGCCCTTTTTCGCTAACTATGGCCCTATAGAAGAGGTCACATCAGTAGTAAGCAAGACTGGAACTGCAACCGGTGACATTATTTTGCATGTGACTTTAACAAGACAAGCTTTTGGGGAAATCCCAGATGTCTTGTGCTGAGACAGGTGAATGCTGGTGGTGGTGGAGGGACATAAGCCAAACTGTTGGAATTGCAAAGTGTCTGAGCACATATCCAAAGTGTGCCCAGGTAAGATTTTGCAACCTCCACCCCACCCAACAATGACGATGGCATCAATTACTACAACAGCAACAAAAACTGTGGCATCAACAGCTGAGGCAACAATAGTGACACTAGCAGCATCAAAGAAGGCATCTGACGGGGAGTGGACAGTAGCGACACACACACACACACACACCAAAAAAAAACGCAGTCTCCAGAGTAGCAGTGGCCACTGCAAGAGTGGCCAAAAAAGGTGCAGTCAAAACGAAGTCATGGGAAGCAGGACAAACAGCCGAAGCCAAAGGAGGTTCAGCGCAGCCCCTGGAAACAAGTTAAGCAGCCGCAGGAGTATCAACAGGGTGTCCAGAAGGGAAAACAGCCACTGAAACGGCAGCAGCAACAAAGTCAGAATGAACAAACGGATACAGAGATGGAGGTGGAGGAAATGCCTCCACTTCATGCCTCATCCTTAAAAAGGAGTAGGGAGGAGGAAAATGAGGATGCACATAAAGAAAGACATGGCACACAATGTAGGGTGGACAAATACATGGAAAAGACCAAGTCCAACTCTGTCCCTGCATCCCCTAGGGAATCTTTCAGATTCCAAGAGTAAGGAGCCTCCCCATCTCCCCTGCCCATGCTCAATCCCCCTCTCCCTCCACTTCTTTCCTTGCTTCAGACTCCGCACCCCCTCATGCGTTCACTTCTTCCCTACCCAACCTAGCAAAGCAGAAAAAGGTGAAGAAGGGAAAATATTTCTCTGGCCCAGAGGCTATTTGCAAAGTGGAGAAAAAAGACTTAGATAAGGGGCTATTGAAATAAAGGAGGGCCTTACTGGGAATTCTAATTAAAAAGACCACAGTAGACAGCAAATCCATAAGGATCCCCACAATTTTGCCCGATGCTCTTGGGGTCATCACAAGTGTGAGGGACACGGGAACGTACCTCATGATATGGACCCATCTGTACAAAGCAAAAGATGCTTTGTTGAACATTAGGATGTTAGAGTTAGACACTACATATTTGAAGAAGCTAAGACATTTCTGTGCTGGAAGGGTCCCAGTCATGCTCCATCCCTCCTTATATATGGCGGTTAAATTAACCTACCCCATGGATGTCAGCGGAATTGTCCTTCCAGGACGAATGACGTCAGAGCTAGGTGTAGGGAGCCTAGGAAAATTTGTCGGGGTCCTTACTGACACAGATTTCCGGCCCATATGTGAGTAGGTTTTTTCTTTTCTCACTTTTCGATTTATTTTTTTATTTTTTTCAGGCCTAGAAGATGTCTGTTAAGATAGCCAGTCTGAATGCGAAGGGCTTGAGGGATCGGGGTAAGGCTGTCCGCCTTCTCTGGGATCTCTTGTCTTTTGGCGTGGATGTTTCCATGATCGAAGGGACCCACTTTGTTTATAGTGTCGATATGTGTGTGCTGTCTAGTGACTTTGTCGTTTATTCAGCATATGGGGATTGGCATGCCAGAGGAGTTTCTTTGCTGGTGAAGTGTACTCTAGATGCGAAGGTTGACCTTCTGCTTACCAATGCTGAGGGCCAGTTGATCGTGGCTGATATTGCCATGAAAAGTGGTTCATTCCGAGTCATTGCTGTTATGCACTCAATGACCGGGAGGAGTGGGTCTCATTTTTTCAGCAGTTGGGGCCGTTCCTGGTGGATTCAACGCACCTAGTTTTAATGGGGGACTATAGTGCCATCCTGGACCCCAAGTTAGATAGGGGGTAGGGAGCTAGTGGGAGAAGGGGTGATTGTAGCTTGGTTGATCTGATCGAAGAGTTTGATCTTGTTGATTGATACTGGGTTGATCACCCCAGGGGGGAGATGTGGACGTGGGCTCTTAATTGGGCTTTTACCCGGGTAGTTAGATACCTGGGTAGAATGTTAGTTAGAGAAGCCAATGTGGACTTGTTAGATTCTCCTACTAGGTAGGCTGTTTGGACCACAAACTCATTTGTGCCCGGATGGTGTTATATCGTAGGCCTAGAATGGCTGGCTACTAGAAGTTCAATCTCTTTACTGGACAAGTGGTACTTCCAGGAGCAGCTAACTAACTTAGTGCAGCAGGAGCTAGTGGGGGCGGTTATCAGGAATAAGTAGTGGGAGAGACTTAAGAATAGGATTAGGTCCTTCACAACTGATTTCAAAAAACAACTTGCGCCTAGATAGAGCTGAGAAGGTGAAGATGCTTACGGCAAATTTTCCCCAGGCTGGGGGTCCCTAGAGATAGCCTTAGCTTGGGGGGTCCCCAGAGATAAGCCTTAGCCAGGGGGGTCCCCTAGAGATAGCCTTGGCTTGGGGGGGGTCCCCTAGAGATAGCCTTAGCTTGGGAAAAAAAAAAGAGATAGCTTTGAAGCTTGGGGGGTCCCCTAGAGATTTTTTTTAGCTTTGGGGGGGTCCCCTAGAGATAGCCTTAGCTTGGGGGGGGTCCCCAGAGATAGCCTTTTTGGGGGGTCCCCTAGAGAGTTTTTTTAGGGGGGGGTCCCCAGAGACAGCCTTAGTTTGGGAGGCCCTGGAGCATTTGACAGCCAAGTCTTACATGTGGGCCAGGTAATCCACACATAGGTTAAGCCGAGATGTCTTCTGAAGCGGTGAATATGATCACAGAATTGTGCAAGGAAAGGATCCGCCGAGGGTCCAATCGTCACAATCGTGAAGTCATGGAGGGGCACACTCTATGAGCCACTGACAACATATGCTAGGTATTTTGGCAGTATTTCAAGAGCCAGTTTACCAAAGAGCCTGGTCTTCATGATGAGGAGTTTCGCAGTTATTTGGCTGGCTTTCATCGACTGAAGCGGCTAGCTGCGAGGGAGAGATTACAGAGGGCGAAGTCTTCACAGCATTGAAGTAGGTTGGCAGAGGCAAGTCGCCCAGTCTGGATGGTTTGCCCTATGAATTGTACTTGAGGCTGTCGCACATCTTTGTCCTGATTTTGACAGTTGTGTTCAACAACTGGTTCTGGCAGGAGACCATCCCCGACCTGTTCACCAGGAGTGTGATCATGCTGTTGAAAAAAGGGCAAGGATGTTGTGGGGAAATTAGATGATTATAGGCTAAACACAGTTAAAGATTTGGGCCAAGATCCTGCAGGAGTGTTTGCAGTCAGTTGCCGAGTCTCTGTTGGGTCCGGAGCAGACTTGTGCTGTGAGGGGTCGAACAATTCAGATCAACCTGCATCTGATCTGCTCGCATTTGATAGAGTTGACCATCACTACCTTGCTGCTGTCCTGCAGGCTGCCGGATTCGAACCTGACTTCTGCTGCTGGATTAGCCTCCTGTATCACATCCCAGTGCTGTAGTACAGGTGAACGGTAAGCTGTCTGGCACTTTTGTGCTGTCTAGGTTAGTTTGTCAGGGTTGTCCACTGTTGCCCCTACTTTATGCTTTAGTTTTGGAGCCTCTCCTTCACTGACTGTGGGACAGGGCATGCAGTCCAGCCCTAGGTGGAATTGCCATTCCTGGAGAGACATGAGCCAGGGTTCCGGCTTCTTCTGGGGCCCTTCAGTTGGACAGATGGTCCTGTCTGCATTCTTGGAGTGTGGTTTGGACCCAACCTCCAGCAAGAGAAAAATTGGTCTGAAGTACAGGCAAAGGTTGACATGCCCGGTCAGACTTGGCATTGACAGAGGTTATCCGTGAAGGGCAGGACAGAGGCGTTTGCCACATACGTTTTCCCTCTTGTCCTTTATTGATTGTCCGTACTTCCTCTCGTAAAGAAGCTGCTTGAGCGCTCACTATTCTCCATTTTATGGAGAGGACGCAAACATCAGGTCGAGAGAAGTCTCTGCACAATATCCATGTCATAGAGGGCTAGAAATGCCACACTTGGCGAGCCACAAACTCGCCTCAAGTTTGGCGTTCCTATGCCATACATTGACAGGAGATTCGATTATGGCTTAAGATGTTGCAGTTTTATTTTTTGTATGTAAATAAATATTGGTATTAGCCTTAGTTATTTCTTCATATCAACTTGCAGAATTTTTTTCTTATTGATCTTGTGTATCCAGCTTAGCAATGACAACGCGGCAGAAAATATGCTGAAATTTGTGCCATCTGTTTTACTGTTTGTTTATTATGCTTTTTTTTTTTTTTTTTTTTTTTAATCAATTAAAATTTTTGATCTACTTTGGTTTCTGTATCAGTGGCAAGGGGGAAAAAACAAATTAGTTTCTGAAATTATTTAACCATATCCATTTTCTGTCACTTTTGAATTTCTTTCAAATAAAAATCTTGCTCACACAGAATTATAATTTCCTGTTGTATAAATTGTGAAGGATGTCCTATTTACCTACCTTTCTTTTTGTGGAGATTTCTTTCTGTGTATATTTACTTCTCCAATAAATGTATAACATTCTTATATTTGTATCTACTCCTCAATCTCTTGTAAACATTTTTATCTTTATTAGATCATGGCCATTCTCATTCACATGGACATAGTCATGGATTTGGTAAGTAAAATGGTAATTCACTAATCTTACTCTGTGTGTGAGATATATATTGTTTGGAAGAGGGGAAAAGTGTGAAATGATTGTCCTGACTCCAAAAAGAAGAGGTAACATTTCGGGGTGGGGGGTTGTAATGGAACATCCCACACTCCCTATCTCCTATGTGGATTGACTATATCAGTAGGTATATATAGTTAGCACAGGATATACCTGGAGGTTTGCTTCGGGAATTACTAGCCTGCCACCCAATTCCCTGTTTTTCAGTAGTGTATTCTCTTTTACAATAAACCTCTCTTTCTTTCGACTAGTGGGGGTTGTTGTTCCTTCACTCGAGTTACACCTTTGTCTTTGTAACCTTTTTAAGGATACAATATAAAAATACATATGAGAGAGGTTATAACTTTTCCAATGAGAGAAAAGTGTATATTTTAAAGAGAATTGGCATTTTTGGTTATAATGTGGATTTTTAAATATATATTATACATTATTCTCCATACATATTTCCAGTCTTGCAACCTTCATCAGGCAAAGAGTAGTTATTTCCACACAGCTCAGATTGAGGATTCAGAATCCACATTCCAATTCCAATCAAATCTATTACATTCACTTATGTGCTAATTCTCTTTGGAAAGGTCTGAATCCTCTTCTTCTCTTCCTTCCCCCTCAAGCTATGGGTAAATAGAAGGACAGACTGGGTTCTATAGCCTTGAATGGCAACTGGCCTACCACAGAAAGAAATGGCAACCTACTGTGGGGGGGAAAAATCTGCATCATCAGTCATGTATCGAAAGATACATGATCACCTAAGCGTGTCTCGTACATGGCACATGATTGACTGAGTAATTCAAATTTATCTTAGACTTGTGGAGAAAATATTCTTCTGCTTAAGGGATAATAAAACAATTAGGATTGGTCAGAGAAAGTGCAAAAGAAGGAGGTCTTTGTTATGACCCTTGTATCTTTTTAAACCTTTCTCCATTTTGTGTATTATGTGTGTTTTTGCTGGTATGTGTATAGGTATTCCTTCTCCATACATATATATTGTTTTATTATAAGGAATTGTATACACACACACACACTTCCTATGTTGTTTTAAGTTTTGTATGTGTGCTTGTGGTTAGTCTATTGTGTGTGTATATATATATATATATATATATATATATATATATATATATATATATATATATATATATATATATATATATATTAATAAAAATCTAATTTTATAACTTCAATTTATTCTTGTTAAAGCAAATAAATACATCTAAAAATAATCTCTGTAGTATTATGATCAGTTTTTTCTATTTACATTCTTGTGATATTACTTAAATTTTTAATTATATTTTGAATATTAACAATGAAAATTCTTTTCTGTTTTTATCTTTCTTTAAAGGCCTCCAAGATGAAAAAGATCACAATCATGAGCACAACTATAATCAACATCATGGTCATAGTCATGACCATGGACATAGTCATGACCATGGTCATAGTCATGATCATGATGAGGGAAAGAGTCATAGTCATGAAAGCTCTTCTAAAATTTCACAGAAACAAATAATGCAAGGTAAGCTTTTCAGTTTTTTTTTTTTTTTTTTTTTTTTTTTTACATTAATGCATCACACAGTCGAGTAATTGTAATACTTTTCCTATTATGGATGTACAAAATGTAATAATGAAGAATTACAGTCATGACAATTTGACATATAGTTGAATGTCTTCAAGATATTAAATTTGGTGAGCTCTTATATTTTAGTTTTGACAGTATATGAAAGTAAAGAAAATACAATTTAACTAAGGTGTGTTCTGACAAATTAAAAAACATTATTATTATTCTATAAATAAATGAACATTCAAACAGTTCTTGTATCTGCAGTGATATGAGCAAAATCTGTTTAATATAGAAAGTTCTTTTTAAAAACCTTTTTAAATCTGTGTGTGTGAGATATGGATTAGAAAAGCACATAAGATTTTCATCTTGATATGTAGTTTATATTTTTGCATGAAATAGTCTCTGAAAATCTGTATATATTCCAGCATTGTATTTTTTATACTGTAATACTGACAAAATGAACCTACTTTGCTGGGGGTAATAGTTTATCCATTTATTTTCTGAAATGTTGGCTATAACTAGAGAATATGTAAATCTGTCCTCAATTGCTTGCACATATGGTGGAATATTTGAAGTTAAATTTCATATGAACATTCACCTTAGGATGATATTGTAATTTGTCATTATTTATAAAATTTTAGAGATACCATGACATGAATTGGAAAGATTATATTGAATCAGTTGCTTGGTCTGCTGCTAGGAAAGTTGGTTCACTTCATTGTAAAAGACAATTTTTCTTGCCAGAATATATCTTAGACTACCATTCGTCCATGACTTGAATATTGTTGTCACATTTGATCTGGTGTTTCTAATGTGCATTTAGAAATTCTTGATAAAATACAAATAATTTGCAATATTATTGGTCTTGACCATGTATCTCTGCTTCACTTTCCCTCTGTTATAACATAACATAACATTGTTCTGATGAGCCTTCATCTTTGGTACCTCAACTTCATAAATTTAAGTGCAGTACCCTTGTACTGCACTTCTATTAATTATTTTACAGTTGAAATGGTTAGATGTAAACATAAATTCTATGCTAATTTTTTTTCTCTCACTTCTGGCTTCTTGCATTCCAGTCAAGTTTGATCTTCAAAAATTTAAGTGCAATGTAAATTGTTAGCCTCCATCTTCTGTTAATTTATTGTTTTCTCTCCATGACGTTTGATTTTTTTTTTTTTTTTTTGTTTTCTCCAATGTTCTCTTGTGCTCTTTACATAAAGCATATATTTTTGCACTATTATTGATTGATAGGAAAGAGATATATATATATATATATATATATATATATATATATATGAAAAAATACATGTGTCAATGTTCAACTTGAAAAAAAAAAAATTCACTTACCAACTTTAAGAACATTTCGGAATACTTCTGCAATAATTATAATCTTAAAAATTCATATAAAAATTTCCCTTTTTTTTTTTTTTTCCCCTTTTTTTTTTTTTCTTTTTTTTCCTTTTCTTTTTTTTTTTTTTTTTCTTTTTTTTTTTTTTTTTTTTTTTTTTTTTTCCTTTCTTTTTTTTTCCTTTTTTTTTTTTTTTTTTTTTTTTTTTTTTTTTTTTTTTTTTTCCTTTTTTTTTTTTTTTTTTTTTTTTTTTTTTTTTTTTCCTTTTTTTTTTTTTCCTTTCTCTTTTTTTTTTTTTTCCTTTTTTTTTTTTTTTTTTTTTTCCTTTTTTTTTTTTTTTTTTTTTTCTTTTTTTTTTTTTTTTTTCTTTCTTTTTTTTCCTTTCTTTTTTTTTCCTTTTTTTTTCTTTTTTTTTTTTTTTTTTTTTTTTTCTTTTTTTTTTTTTTTCCTTTCTCTTTTCTTTTTTTTTTTTTCCTTTCTTTTTTTTTTTTTTTCCTTTCTTTTTTTTTTTTTTCCTTTTTCTTTTTTTTTCTTTTTTTTTTTCTTTTTTTTTTCCTTTTCTTTTTTTTCCTTTCTTTTTTTTTTTTTTTCTTTTTTTTTTTTTTTTTTTTTTTTTTTTTTTTTTTTCTTTTTTTTTTTTTTTCCTTTCTCTTTTTTTTTTTTTTTTTTTTTTTCTCTTTTTTTTTTTTTTTTTTTTTTTTTTTTTTTTTTTTTTTTTTTTTTTTTTTTTTTTTTTTTTTTTTTTTTTTTTTTTTTTTTTTTTTTTTTGTCTTTTTTTTTTTTTTTCTTTTTTTTTTTTTTTTTTTTTTTTTTTTTTTTTTTTTTCCTTTTTTTTTTTTTTTTTTTTCTTTTTTTTTTTTTTTTTTTTTTTTTTTTTTTTTTTTTTTTTTTTTTTTTTTCAAATTTGACAGTAAGTCTTAAAATGAGCTTCAAACTTAGTAACTAAATGGCAATGTCGCTCTCTGTCTCACTCTCTCACTCTCTCACTCACTCACTCACACACACAGCTACAAATAAAGTTTGGGTTTGCTAATCTTGCCTTTTACTAGATACTATATGCAACAACAGCATTTACTTGACTTGAGCTGGATAAACCACTATTTTCTTTGTTAAAAGAAAGTAATTTTGAAGTAATCCATTTTTATGATTAGTTTTGTTTTTCTCTTTATCATGTAGGGGTGTTTTTGCATATTCTTGCTGACACACTGGGTAGTGTGGGAGTAATTATCTCCTCTGGCTTGATCCATCAATTTGGTTGGATGATAGCTGATCCTATTTGTTCCATGTTTATAGCAACATTGATTGCCATCAGGTAAAGTATAAATTTTGAATTAGGAACCTTTTTATTTATTTATTTTTTTTTTTTTCACTGTTCATTATGTAAAACTAAACATGTAAATATGAAACAATGATTGTATCAATTTGGTTAAAGTGAAGGTATGCATAAGTAAATTTTCTATATTAACTGAATTGAAATATAAATATTCAAACCTATTCTTGTAAATCTTTTTTGTTTGAATACTTGGATGAAAATTGGAGTCCATAGATAGCTGACATAAATTTGACCATAATTCACTCACTCAGTTGCTAGCTTTTATAAATCTTGTGAACAAATTGACTATCAACTATATTCACTTAAAATCAGTTACTATCCAAAGTTAGTCTTTAACTTTTATAATCAGTTTTTTTCCTAACAATAGTCACCTATTAACTGTGATGTGCCTAAGAAATGCTTAGAAGTATAAAGTATTAATGTTTGGGTGGTTAAAAGATTTTTAGTAACTCCATCCTCAAGGCTATTTTTAATTTAATTAGATATTCTTAAGGAGGGTTAATAAGACAAAAATTACTTTAGTTTATAAATGTTTCTTAAAGAATTTTACTTTTATGTTTCTTTAAGAATTTAATTTTAATTCTATCAAATAAAAGCTACTCAAAACTATAGTTTTATTGAACTCTAGTTAAAAATTTGTTGTTTTGTCTATACCAGTTTAATTATTTTTATTAACACCAACAGAAATTAAGTTGGCTCAATATTATTTCATGTTTGTAGTTATCTGTGATATAGAAAAAAGTTTATTGGTGAATGATATTTGGAAGAATAGATTTTGTAAATAGATACTATGTATGTGATAACATCATTTTGTAGGATGCTTTAAAATTTACTTTGCATATCAATATAGCACAGTAAAACTAGCATATTGCAACCATTCTTAGCTTATCTGCATGTTGAAAATAGTTGTATATATTCGCAACCAAATTTGAATAAATTTATTCTTTGAAAGATGAGAAATTATAACATTTTTCAGTTTTTATTGTATTTGTGAAGAAATTTCCTTTGCTTTTACATATATAATCAGAACTGAAAACATTTCATGATAGGAACATATATGAATTAATCAAATGCTTTTCATTTCTCTTTAATTATGATTAGTTATTCTTATTTCTTTCTTTTCTTTTTTTTTTTTTTTTTTAATAAAGATTCAAACATTCATTTATGGTCTTCTTTTTAGTGTCTTACCCCTTTTGAAAGAATCAGCTGGAATTTTAATGCAGAGAACACCTAAACAGTTAGATTCACTTTTACCAGGATGCTATCAAAGAGTAAGTTTAGTATCATCTCGAATACAAAACAATTTACTTTACATGACAATAAAGCACAGTGAAACTAACATATTGCAACCATTCCTAGCTTATCTGCATGTCAAAGAAATCTATATTGGAGTTTTATCAGCTCATTTGTTTAATACATTTCTTCTTTTTTTTTTTTTTTTTTTTTCTTTTCTTTTTTTTTTTTTTTTTTTTTTTTTTTTTTTTTTTTTTTTTTTTTTTTTTTTTTTTTTTTTTTTTTTTTTTTTTTTTTTTTTTTTTTTTTTTTTTTTCTTTTTTTTCTTTTTTTTTTCTTTTTTTTTATTCAATTTATGTAGTTCTTCATCTGTGGTTCTTATTTAATGTGTCATTGCAAAATTTGTTAATTTTTAATTGATAAATAAAAAATACTTTCATTTCATGATACTCATAACTTTTTCTTGAAAAATGACCTGATAACTTTTCTGCTTTATAAAGACAAAATACTATTGACATTCTTTGTTTGCTTCACAAAAGAACAAAATCAAAACTTAGAATATAAACAATTAAAATGTATTGGAAGTAGTGTAAATCAATATAGGAGTACACTTATAGTTTGGTTATATCCAAACTCTTTTTTTTGTTTCTCCATTAATTTCCAAACATTTAAAACAATACATCTTTCATCAGAAGATTTCTAAGAATTCCAACAAAGTGTATTTATAGACATTTTTAGCATATGATTGTTTTAAGTGGGAATAATGAAAATGAAATGCCTTTCTAGTAGAATTTGCTCCACCCTACCTTCATCTTAACATTCATTTTTCTTTTAAATACTGAAAACAAATGTTGTAAAAATCTTAGTGATGTGTAACAAAGCATTAAAATTCTTAGAAAAATGTAAGCCAATAACTTGGAAGTGGATGTTACTCATATAAGTATATAGTACAAAAGTAATAGATCTTACATGCTAATGACTGAAAAATCACAAGTGTTAAATCACTTTGATGCAATAACCTCACTTTTGCTTTTCTAACTCCTCCTCTCATGCAGGTTAGTCAAATTGAAGGTGTCTATGGAGTACAAGAACCACACTTTTGGACATTGTGTAGTGAAGTCTACATTGGAACATTAAAACTTGAAGTTGCAGAAGAAGCAGATGCCAAATATATTCTTAGTCAAACTCACAACATCTTTACACAGGTAAATAGCATGAATTGTTTTTTTTTTTTCTTACTGAAACCATGACCTTTTTTAATAATTTTAGGAAAATTGTTCTGTTTATTGTAATTACATTTTAAGATGTTGCCCTAGTAGTTGTCCATTTGCATCATTGACCTTTTCCATTGAGATGGATTCATTACTTTCATGAATTGATTGGTACTCTTATTGGCTTTATTTTTGATATTTGCTTTCATAGCTAAAACCTGCTTAATCCAGAACAACAAAGCTTGACCATAAAAATGACAACTTTTTAAAATACTTCTATTTATGGTTTCTTTAATTCAATGCTTTTTAATTCAATGCTTTTTATTTTGCCAAAGCTGTACATAAGATATTGTCTAAAATAATCTTTTCTGCTATATATTTAGTTTAAATTTGTATTTCTCTGCATAGCATATACAATATGATTTCTTTTTTAAACAAATTAATTTATATGAAGACAAGATTTAAGGAAGAAAAAACCTTTTGATATGAAGTTGGTTAGAAAAGCAGTACATCTTACTCAGAAAATTTTATGTATTGTTGTTAAATGTTATTTTATAATTATATGAACAAATTTCATGCTTTATAATAGCATCAGCTTTTAGTGTAACTTCAGTGCTCCCTCAACAGTATCTTGTAGGAGATATGATTTACTCTCACAGCTGTTGAAATTTTTTTTTTTTTTTTTTTTTATTACCTCTCCCAGGAAAGGGAAATATGAAATGGTAGAGAAACTGCCAAGAGAAGTTTTTGCTTATTGAAACAAAATATAGTTGATTTGAAGATAAAAATCTTATAGGCTTCCTTGTATTATACTTGTAATAACATTTGCTGTAAGGCATATATTTTAATTTTTATTTAACTTTTACCTTGATGCATTGTTTAATTTTATTTAAGCGAAAACTGATTAGCTTTTTCTTTCCCTGTCTTCAACAGGCTGGAGTGCGTCAACTTTATGTCCAACTTGATCACAAACCAATGTAATTTGAAGTACTAGGGATCTGTATGAAAAGAAATGTATGAAGCATGATGAACTTGGTTCAAGACACAAGCAGACATTCATCCCACTGTCAAATAGTAAAAAACAAATTACCAAGAATTATTTCATTTGAAACATGAAAGAAAAGGACTACAAAAAGAATGTATGTGTAAATGAGTACCAAAGAATTTCAGAGTGACCAAATATAAACTCTTTCTTTCAGTATTTCACTGAATGACTACTTTCTTCATCTGGGGGTGTTTATCATTTAAAGATACCCTTACAATTTATTTGTATACTTGTGTTGTCATGGCAATTAACAAATTTGTCAGATTTTGGATTACCTTGTTTAAAAGTAAAGAATTTTTTTATATTACAAGAAATATCAATGAAATACAATTTTTATTGAAGTGGAAAATATGGTAAAGTTTATAAAGGCAACAATCTCAACTGTCTATTATACTAGATATTTTTCTGATTCATTATAGGTACCCATCATAAGACTCTATTGTCAATCACAGGCCAAATGGCTTTGTCCTATGACATTTTAGTAATTGCTTGCATTTATCAGAAATGATTTAACATTCTCTTTTAGAAGATAATTTATCCTTAATTATAACCTTTGGATTTTTAAAAAGATATCAAAATATGTAAGATGATATAAACCATAATTATTTGCATTGAAAGCATTTAGGTTCCAATTATGTAAAACGAATGTCAATTTGATCAAAGAGTACTTTGTGATTGATACATTTAGAATATGAGATATGAATGTCCTTGTTCGCTTGAAAATGTTTCTGAACCAACTGGATTATATTTGTGCCTACAAGCAGACATTTATACCTTGGGCAAGTCTTTCATGCTCTACATCCACTGCAATTTTATATTTGTAGGGAAAAAACATGATTAATGCCAGATGGTATAAATCTCCACAATTCACTTTTCATTCTTAATTTGCTCATTGTTTTACACTTTCTTCATCTTTATAGTCTACAAATAAAAAAAGAAAAAAAAAAAGAAAAAAATTCAGCAGGCAAAAGAGGCATTAAAAAAAAAAAAGCTAAAAATGGTCAAGGAAAACTTTATGTATTGAATGTGCTTAAAAATGCATAAGGTATTTTAAAAAGATTGGCGTTTTCCTTTCAGTCTATTTTGCATTAAAAATCATTTAGAAGAAACTATATTTGTTACCTCTATCTGAACTGCATTTTGACACATTTTGAGAGAAATTACAACATACTGACATGTCAGTCTCTTATACTTTTTAAAAAGTATAAGAAACCTAAGATGAGAAATACGGAATGAAGTTAATTATTTCACATATTTTATTCATTTGACATTGATTCACTCATCCCCAAAATGTTGAAGACTTAACTAATCAAAATTGTGTGCATTTTGTATGTTGAACGCACTTGTCAGAAAGATCTGTTTCTGTAGTGTTTCAACTTTATCTCCATTAAACAGTAAGCAAATATAGTAAATCTTGAATTGTCTTTTCTGATGAGTCATATCTTGGACCCTTTCTCAGATTTTGCTCACTTTTCTATTTATGTGCTCAAAAAGATACTGACAAATATAGTAAAATTATTTTTTTAAATAATTACTTGATTCTGCCTCAAACTAAGCATTATGTTTTCAAGCATTCTTACAATTATTCTCTTTCAATGAATTCCTGTTCTATGTTTGTTTTGGGGATGGCAATCTTTCTCCTTGCACCAGAAATGCTTAAAGAAAAATAGGTTCTTTCTCAATGTTATTTACATGCACACGATTAACTGGTTTGAAGAAATATTCTGGATCCAAAGTGTCACTTGTAATTTAAAAGGCTCCAATTTGCATGGCTATTTGATCTTTTACTTAATTTTATTATTCCAATTAGGAATAAGTTTTTCTTTTTGGTAAATAAAATCTTTTATAGTTGAGGTCATCAGGTAGTAGGGTGATTTTATTCTGAAAAGGCTGGGTAAAGAAAATCACATTCAAATGACTGCTGCACTCCATAAGGAATAAAAACAAAACCTGGGTGGTTCTTTAAGAACATAGAAAATTCTTGTCTAATAACTGTTTCTAAATATGTGCTACTTATGTGTTTTTATGGGGTGGGGATTAAAAATTTGTACAGAAATACAATTTTGGCTGCTTTAACTTAATGCAACAAAACTGTTTTTGTTTTTCCATACATTTAGTGTCCAACAAAGATAACTCCATTTCAGTGAGCTGCTACAATGAATGAAACAGAAAATATCAAATCTTACAAATTAATTCAAAGTAGAAGCAAAAGAACCTTGAATGAAAACAGTTGTTCAGTTATGATTGATAAAAATGCTGCTGTTATTTGGAGCAATTTTTTTATTTTTTAAGTGAGAGAGAATTTATATATATATATATATATATATAGTAAAACAGTTTAACCTATCCAATGCTTTAATGAAATGAATGATTTTTTAGAACTCTAGCTTTTTTTTTTTTTACTCTCACACCATTTGACACAGCAAGGTTGCTATACATTCTCTGAATTAAAATTATCCAAGAACATTAATGGAGGCAAATCTTTGATCTTAAGTGATTAAAATAGACTAATTTGCTAATGGCAAACTTTTGAAACTTAAAATAAGTTTTGCATATTTTCTAATTCGTTGCAATTGCTACCTACTTGAGTGTTACATACACTTATGCACAACTGTGTACACATATTACTTATCTCACTGATGTAAAAAAGATATTAATTTGGAAGTTGAACAGTTCTGTTCCCTTGTAGAGGAGAGGAGAGCAATCATAAAACATTTTCATTTGCTAAAATGTCTCTTTAATTTTATGTATTCTTAGTAAAAATCTTCATGTTGATAATGACATGCCCGGTAGCAATAACAAAGTACACATGGGGTAATTATGCTAAAAACATTTTTCTTGATAATACTGATTATTATAATACTTGATTTATTATTCTATAAGTGGGTACTGAAATATTCTTAACTTATACAGAATTGCTGAAAAGATTTTAAAATTTTATTAAAAGGAAATATCAATCCAGATGCCTTGATAATGTCTTCAAACAATATATCCTTACATGAATTTTTCAGCAAGGCTGAATACTAAGAAACATTGTATTGCAACAAATTTCTGCATAACTGCATTATGTTGCTGCTCAATAAACACTTATTTGGCATAGAATGGAAGCACACACTTTGATATTTTTTTTTTTTTTTTTTTTTTTTGTGAATTTAACTGATTTTGTTAAAAATAGAAAACAAAATTTAATCACTTCTCTTATCTCAAAAATTAGATTCTGAAATTAGATATTAGAAATGGTAATAATATAAAACCAGTTTCCAGTCATCGTGAGAGAGGAAAAACAGATCATGGAGAAATGCCTTACATAATGTCAAACTCTTTTTAAGGGAGATTATGACTATTTTAATATTTCAAATTTTAAACAATTGTATCTGTAAGATGTTGTAGGAGAGTGGATAGTATAATTTGCTTACCCATAACTTGGAACTGTGAGACAGTAAAACAAATCCTTCAAAATACAAAAGAATCACATGCACTGTAACTGATCAAATTTCTTAATTTACTTCATGTTTATGAAGATCACTTCCTATTTTGTTTTCTTGGGAAAGTAGTAATTCTTTCAGGAATGGAGATATTGGAAAAAATCTGGGGCACAGATTTATATTTTGATAAAATTCAAGCACAGTACTTTTGAGAATTTTCCTTCTAAGAAGGTCACTGCATAGGAAGCAAAACTTAGAAAGTACAATTATTATCCACATGTTCCTATGAAAAGAAATTTTTTTTTTTTTTTTTTTTTTTAAATTGCATTGAAGAAAAAGTTATTGTTCAATGCTTACATAAATTAATCAAAACATCACATCCTAAAATCCTCAGCGCATGAATTAGAAGAAAATGTAGCAACACTTTTTGATAAGGCAAATAAGATAGGAAGTGATCTTCATAAACACAAATCTAGTGAAATATATATAGGACAGATTTTCTTTTACCTTCAGGAAAAATTGGTGTAATTCAATCTATAATCTATCCTTTATTACGTGTTATTTTGTTGAATTTATTCATTAGTCATTCTGCATTAAGCAAAAAAAAACAAACATCTGCCATTTTAGTGGCACAATAAGGCCTAAGGCCAAGTTTGGTGGCTCAAATGATTTTTCTCTTTTTTTTTTTTTTTTTTTTATTTATTTATTTATTTATTTATTTATTATAGGTACCTACACACAAAAAAAACTAATACATAAGGTTTAAAATTTTTTTTTTTTTTTAATTCAAAGCCCTTCTTGAAGCTTTTATTTTAGTTAATAGATTGAATTTAATGTTGCATTTTCTTATGGAATTTTGTGTAAATTGTCAATGGGAATTTGTTCCAGTTAATGAACATGGTGCTCTAAAAATATTTTATTTGAAAAGTTGTTGCTTTAAACTACTATATTTTCTACTGCAACTGTATTGATCTTATATGTTCAGCTCTTATTTTAAATGTAGAACTAATTTTTGTTGAGCGAATGTGTAAATCAATGTTCTTTCAGACGATACTTGTAATATTTTAAATTATCTTTATAGTGTGTTAAGTTAATATAACTTTCTTTGCTAGAAAGAATGAAATGTGTATTTGAGCAACACTCAACAAATGACATTCCAAATACTGTTATTTTTGTAGTGATATAGAAAATGTTTCAGACTCAATTTAAATACTTCTCATTTAACTCTTCATTTATTGTAATATCACTAATTTTTTATAAGTACAACTCTTGTCTGTGATATTTATTTTTTAAGTGTTTAAAGCATCCTATTATACAAAAACAATTGTTCATCAAATAATCATTTACTGTTATTAGCCAATCCTCCACCCCCATTTCATTCCATATAACAGGAAATATCTTAAATTGAGGTCATTTCTCTTCAAAGTTGATCCTGGAAATTTGTGTTTAGTACTTGTCACCTCAAATTCTAATGGTAATCAGTACAATCTTATACTTGTAAAAGTTGCTGT